CTCCTGTAGTTGATCTCCTGGGTGAGGTCGCCATGTTCGTTGACGAGGCCACCGAGGTACCGGAACTCGGTCGTCTGGGCGTATTTCTGCCCCGCGGTTTCGATGGGCAGCGGTGGAGGCGGGGGGGGCTGAGATGTTGTAGTCGGCTTGTCCTTCGCGCGCATCAGGAACGTCTCCATCTTCTTCTCCGACACCGTCAGCCCGAACTCCCCGAACACCTCAACGATGATGGTCATCATTCTCGNCGAAGAGTTCGTCGGCATCGATCTTGAGCAACTCGGCAGGGAGGGATTCATGGCCGGGTGCCTTCCAATCCTTGAGGCCTTTCGTTGCCCGTGCCACCTCCTCAAGTTCTGGCAACTCTCCCAACCGTTGAGCGTCACGTGTCGCTGGCCGCTGCGTCACTCGTTCGATGATGTCTGGGTTCAGGGTGGGGGATTTGGTGTTGAGTGGGGTGCTGAAGAATCTCGCCCACCGCTGGAGGATGTCGTCCTTGTTCCGGAGCAACACGCTGTTCTCATCCGCGACGAACTGCTGTCCCCCCGCTTGTCTCCCGCTGAGGCCCACTGATGTCTTGAGGTGTTGGTGTTGGTAAAGTCCTCGCATGTCGCGATCTTTGTAGATTGCTTCGAGTTCAGTCACATATCCGTCCAGGTGGGCATAAATCAATGCCCGTTTCGACTGCTGTAGCCACTCCCTTAGGGGTATAGTTAACGACAAAAAAACCACGGAACATTTCACGGAATCGTTTTTTCTCGAACATACCCTATATGGAGGCAAGAAGGAACCGTTTTTTTTTTAGGCTTGCTACTTTCACGGATCGATCCGTGTTTTTGACAGAAGCATCGGACAAGCGCACCGCGGGCGCTGCAATATCACTGAGAACGCTAGAAAGACCTGCAAGACTCACGTCCAGGTCTGATGTGGAGATGGACATGCGGCAGAAGCGGCGTTCAGTCCGTTCTTGGTCCAATATCAGACATTGCGTAATGCTCTTGGCTTCAACTGCTGCTGTTGGTGCTGGGGATTTTTTTTCATTCACACAGCAAACACGGAAACAGTAGAACGAGTACAGCAGCAGCACTAAGACCTCCAACGCGCTGATTCCTTCGGTTCGGCTGTCTATATGATACCATCTCCCGGCGCCGTGCTGCTTCGTGGGTTTTGGGTGCTTGGCTGCTGCTCAATAAGGTGTGTGACAGACGTGTGCCACCTCACCAAAATGCCGCCGGAAAAAAATGCGGCGAGATATCTGTTTTTGGTCGGACACGTCAACATCAATCCACGGCACCACGCAGCAGAAGAGCAACAGGGCCTCCGACACGCTAATTCTTTCGGATTCGCCATCTATATGATGCTGGCCGTCAGCACGGCTGCCGCCCTATGATTATTGAGCTCGTCTACCTTTGGGCATTTGGTGGTCAAAGATGGGAGTCGCAACCGTGGAAAATGAGCTGCCAAACTGAAGA